GGTAATGATTCCCGCAAAGAAAAAGTGTGTAGTTGAAAATCCGGGTATAGGTCAGGGGGGGTACTTGTGCATTTTCCCAATTAAAGTACATCAAAGGAGGATATATTAAAATTGAAATTACATTAAAAAACATAAAACATAAGTTTAGCAATCCCCTATGTCATTTCCAGGTGCACCAAAATTAACAAAAAAACTAAGAGAACGAGGTAGAAGATTGTTGTGCTTGTGGTTGTTGAAATTGTCGACTTCTTTTATCGATTATTCATTTTTGTTCTTGTCGCATAAATTCACGAAGATTTGGATCGTCAATGTAATTCAAGTTCGTCAATAAAATTTTATTTTCTTCTTTGTATTCTTTTTGTCTCGAAGCTTCATTTCTTGAGTTACTTGACTTTTCCATCGCCTCAACAAGCCGACTATTAACCGAGCATTTATGAGAGAATAGAGGTGAAAGTTGAATATTTATGTGGTACTTAAATTAAATTTGACTATGATGTAATATTTATTTAATTATCTTTTATCAATGATTTCACTTTTAGTTGATTTATCCTTTAAAATAATTTTGTAATAAATGATTATATAAGTGGTGAATATGAATTATATATGATGAATATGGAAAAAAGAAAAAAGATAGAATTAGTTTGAAGGAAATAAAAAATGAAATTTAATTAGAAAATAATAATATAATATAGAAGAGAGGAGAAATATTCTTTTTTGGTCTAAAACATGGTGTAATGGTTGGAGTAAATTTGGTGTTACACCATTTTGGTGTGAAATTTAGTGTGAAATTTGGTTTTAGGGTTGGAGATGGTCTAAGCAAGAACCTGCATTACTAATCCCAGTATTACGTCTATTCCCTTAATATCATACTAGTATACCTACCCGCGCGATGCGCGGATCATTTTAAAGGGAAAAAAGAGAAAAGCAGAGGGAGATATTGGAAACATATGTATATTGCTACAGAAGTACTTGGCTTTAAACGGATTAGTCCACTAGAAAATGCAGATATTTTTGTCTCAAGTTATGATCAGAAAATAAAGGACAGTTAAACATATGTATAATTCAAAGATTAAGATATCACCTTCTGTCATGATGTACTTTGGATCAGAAGTGTATGAGAATATGAGCAAGTCAGTCATGTTGGTTGATGATATAAACGACAACTCACATGGATAACCAAGATCTCAAAAATATCCAATCCTTGTAAGTAGAATCTATAGAATAATTTTAAGTCTCAGATGAAATGCATACAATAAAAATATTAATTCTCATCAAGATTTTATGTCATTTACCGACATAGTTGTAATATTGTTGTTCCAATCAAAAACATATTCATCATAAGCTACATGTTCCTTTACAACTGAGGCAAAGTTCTCTATTGTATGCTTAAGGTAAGTTTTCTTATCTGCAGAAAAAAATCTATATTGCAGACTATTAGATGAAATAATAGGCAGAACATTTTGTACTCTTAGTGAAACAAAACAATGTGAAACGTAGTAGATTTTGCTTACAAATTGTTGCCTTTATTGCTCCAGGTGAACCTACTCCAACCACAAATACAAAGCTGCATGAAGAATAGAAATCGTGGTCAACATTTTTTCAGTGCTTCAGCGGGCTTTGGCCTTTTTTTGTTATAGGTATTTAACCGGTTCGTAAGATAAACTATGAGTCAATGACGTTGCCAAGATAGATATTTTCTTTG